TTCAGTTATGGTCCCCATTTCTGAGTAAACGACCGGAACGTAAAAAATACAACAAAGTAATAATAAAAAAACAAGACAGCTTTGAAGAAAGAGAGGCTCGATATCATCGTTTCATTGATAGAGCCGTTTGTTAATTTTTTTAAAATTTGTTTAAGTTTTCTTGTTGCCGCGGCGGTGGGCTTTGCCTGTTTTTTGGTGGTAGCCCATTTCGGTTTTTTAGATTCCTTGGCCTTTAGATTTTTTAACTATTGTAGCCGGTTATCGACAAAGTATTATTAATTATTACAATTTGCATTTTGCACCAGAAAATTTGATTTTAGTGAAAAAATAGCAATCGCATAAAAGCCTAATAGCTTAGGCAGAAATGTTGCAACAGTTCTCTTCAGTCTACATACTTTCCTGACAAAAATGAAATTTTTCATAATCAGTTTCTCATGCTAACCGCGTAAACCGTGCGTATGAAATTACATATTTTACAAATTTACTCTCTTATGCTCCCCATTTTTAGGTAAACGAGCGGAACGTGAATAAAAAAAGACAACGGAGTAATAATAAAAAACAAGAGAGCTTTGAAGAAAGAGAGGCTCGATATCATCGTTTCATTGATGGCTCTGAGAAGAGCCGTTTGTTAATTTTTTTAAATTTGTTCTCGTCATCAAACTGAAGTTTTCTTGCTGCCGCTAGTCTTCTTTTTGTTGGCCGCGGCGGTGGGCTTTGCCTGTTTTTTGGTGGTGGCCGATTTTGGTTTTCTAGATTCCTTGGCCTGCTGTTTTTTAACTATTTTAGCCGGTTTCTTTGGAGAAGCGATCTTTTTGGCGGCCGCAGGCGGTTTCTTTACGGCTTTCTTGACACTGGAAGTCTTTTCGACTGGCTTCTTTGTGCTGCTAGATGCCGTTGCCTTTTTAGCCGGAGCCGCCTTTTTTGCAACAGACTTTTGACGTTTGTTTGTCGCTTCCGCCACTTTTGTAACTTTTTTTGGCGAGGCAGCCGCTTTGGTTTTTATGGCGACAACGTCTTTTTTCGGCTTGGCGACAGTTTTGTTGGTATCTTTGGCGGCACCGAGGCGGAAACTGCCTGAGGCTCCAGATCCTTTCGACTGCTTTAGCGTTTCCGACTTGACGCCATTCCTCAGGGCTACTTTGAGGTGGGTGTTGACGGAGTGTTCGTCGCTTCCGACCTTGAAGTTTGCCATGAGGTACTTGAGTATGGCCTGCCTGGACGATCCGCCGCGTTCTTTGAGAGCGACGAGAGCCTGGCGAACCATTTCGTTGTAGGACGGATGTTCTACGACTTTTTTTGTACTTGCGGCGGCCGCTGACTTTTTCTTGCCACCGGCGGCAGATTTTTTGGAAGCGGCTGTCTTCTGCGCATCACCTACATCGGCGTTAGATTCGACGTTAGCAGACATTTCGCGATGAAAAATTTAG